GGCAACCGCTAAAACCTTCTCTGTGTCCATGATTCTGTTGCTGTTCTTGTTTGTTTGCTTTGTTTTTTAGAGTCAATTGTTGATAGATATGTATTTATTGCCATTTTATTGTTCACAGTTTTGCTCTTCTTCTTTGTCTTAAGTCCCTTTAACATTTCATATAATAATGGTTTGGTGATGATGAACTCCTTTAGTTTTTTTCTTATCTTTTTAAGACTAATAATACTGCACTGGATGTGTATGTCACATTGATCATCTCTTCACCCATAAATGCACACTGGGGTTGCTGCCACCTTTTGGCTACTGTGAATAATGATGCAGTGCATGTGGTGTGCAAATATATCTTGGAGATTTTGCTCTCAATTCTTTTGGATATATATCCAAAAGTGGGAAAGTAGGATTGTTGGATCATCTGCTAATTTTAGTTTTAACATTTTTGAGAACTACCATACTGTTTTCCACAGTAACTTCACCACTTTACTTTCCTACCAATAGTACAAAAAGCAATTTCTCTGCATCCCCACTGGTGCTTATCATTTTCTGGGTTTTTCTGTTTGTTTGTTTTTATATAGTAGCCATCCTGATGGGTATGAGTGGTATCTCACTGCAGTTTGGATTTTTTCACATGCTTTTTGGCCATTTGTATATCATCTTTGGAGAAATGTCTATTCAAGTCCTTTGCTTACTTTTAATCAGGATATCTGCTTTGTTGTTGTTGAGTTGGGGGTTCTTCATGTATTCTGAATATTAACCTCTTATTAGATATTTCTCATATTCCAAAAGTTGCCTTTTCACTCAATTGCATTATTTAGTTCACAGAAATATAAGAATATTTTTGAGGATATTATTGACACATTATGCAGTACCTACCACATGAGGACAGTGGGAGACATATACCTTAGGATCCAGTAGCAGAAATAGCTGGTTTTCTTGTAAACAACTGATTTGCTGTGATCCTATGGGTGACAGCAACACCAAGTGACAAAGGCTCAACCGACGCTCAACTAAAACAATGATGTCGAACTGCATTTTTATGTAGTGGGTGCTTTCCTCTGTCCTTTCAAATGATTTTTCCAAATATTTCTTTAAATTCCTTTATATTTTGGATGTTTTTAGCAATCTGAAGTTATTTTTTATTGGGAGAGTAACCGATGTTATTTTTAATAGCTACTAAAAACATTACATTTCACAGAGAACGAAACTAAAGCTCAGCATCTATAAATAACTTTCTGAAGCTACATAATTAGTAAACAGCAGGATCTATGATTCAACCAAGGTCTATCTGTGGATTTTTCCAGAACACCAAGCTATTTCTTCAAGGAATGAAAAAATTGACCATGAATAGTAAAATAACAGCAAACTCACAATTATTAACAACCACACATAAAACAAAAACAAAAAGAAACTAAGCAAACAACTAGAACAGGAACAGGACCACAGAAATGGAGATCACATGGAGGGTTAGCAACAGGGGAGTGGGAGGAGGAGAGAGGGGGAAAAGATATGGAGAATAAGTAGCATAGACGGTAGGTAGAAAATTGTCAGGGAGAGCAAGAACAGTATGGGAAATGTAGAAGCTAGAGAACTTACGACACATGGACATGAACTAAAGGGCTGAAATGTGGGTGGGAGAGGGTGTGCAGGGGGGAAGGGAATGAAGGGGGGGTAATGGGACAACTGTAATAGCATAATCAATAAAATATATTTTTTTAAAAATTTGACCATGACACAAGGAGTGTCCTTTGTAATGTGGTTGTTGTGTTCCCTAAGAGCATATGGGAAGTGAGATCACTTTCTGCCAGAGTGGTCAGGGGAGGCTGGAGCTTGAAAGACAGAAAAGTGGGTGGGGGGGGGGCACTGGGAGGGTGGAGGACAGATGACAATGAACAACAATGTGACAATAAATAGAAATATGGCCTGGAAGTACTGGGTCTGGCTGCCTCACACTAGTCCTTGTTGAGTACAGCAAAGACTGTGACAAAGAAAAAGAATGAAATAAAGCATAAGACATAGATTTCAGTGGAGACTGTTGATTCTAGTCTTAAGAAATTTGAACTTAATTTGGTAAGTATCAGCGAGTGACAGAAAATTTTTCAGCAAGATTTGGTTTAAGAAAGATTCCTCCAGTGAAGGTCTTAAATAGGGTTCTCTAGAACCAGAGACTGAGAAACTAATTTACTGGGGGTGAGTGTCTCTTAAGTGAAATCTGTGAAATCAGGAGAAATGGGAAGAAGCTAGGCAAAGATAAGGTTCAACTAAAGTCTACTCTCAGCCTGATCCCCTAAGAAAGCTCCGGAATGTGAATGACAACTCAGAGTCTTATTTCCTTCAATCCCTGCCTGACGCCAACCCAGGCATTCCTGGGCAGAACAGCTCCTTCTGGGTCGAATCCATCCTCAGATGATGCATGAGCCCACAAGTACCAACAGGCACAGCTGAAGGATGGGTCACTCTGCCCTAGTAGGCACCAACCATGTCTACCATATGGCATTTTGAAGGATGAACTGGAATGGTAGGGGTCTAAAACAGTATATGTAGATATGAAAGGTAATACCATCTAAATTTGTGTAATGGCTAATAGGATAATAATGGTTTTCCAGATATGTCCACATCCTGATACCCAAACCTGTGAATATCAAACATTTCATGGCAAAAGGAACCTTGCATCATTAAGGCTAAATATGTTAAAATGGGGGAAGGAGAGTATCTGGATTAGCTGAAGGGCCTCAACCTAATTACTACAGGGTTCCATAGAAGTGGAAAGCTTTCCCAGGCTGAAGACAGAGATGAGATATTGCTGGTTTTGAAGACATAGAAAAGGGGCCATGCACCAAGGAATGAGCCAGCCTTTAGAAGTTGGAAAAGGCAAAAATATCAAACCAAACCAAACCAAACCAAAACGGGTTTCCCTAAAATTCAGGAGGAAATACAACCTTATGACACCTGGGCTTTAGCCCCAGAAAACTCATGTTGAACTTCTAAACTATAAGATAATAAGTCATCTTGTTTTAATTTGTTACAGCAGTAATAAAAAATTGATACAGTGGCTAAGCAGTAAGACATTGATAAAATTCACACAATTTTTTAAAAGGCTTAAAAATATGATCAGCCTTGCTTTATCTTTCCATTTGAAGTACAATTAACAATTCTTACCCTGTTCAGAATTCATAAACTAATTTTAAAGGTTGCAGAAGAAATAATTTCAATGAAATGACAGTAACAGGTCAGTATATTATTATAAAGATTAAGAAAAATATATCTTTAGTGGACACCCCAAATTGTTAATGAAAGATTATGCATTGGAAGAATATGCATTTATTTTTATTACTATACTAAAGACATAGGTGTCAGCTCACCACAAACTGTAAATCTTTCTGTTTAACTATTTTTTAGCACCTGCCCGAGACTCTTTCTCACTGAGGAAAATGTAAAATTGTGAGCCCTGTGGTCACCAGAGGGAGCCATGGGGCAGGCTGTCCCTCTCCTCCAAGGCTGGTCCAGGAAGGTGAAGGATGCTGGCTGTGAGGCCAGAGATCTGCGTTTCTTTGGTATTATCTGGTTCTCTTAAAAATCAGGTGTGAGAGTGGGAACAATTTTTTATACTAACATAAATATTTTTATTAAAATTCAAAAGGTATATTCCTATTTGGAATATAAAAATGCTAAGTATTTTTATAAAAATAATATAACTATTACATTATATATTATTATTTTAAAATATGAGTATAGAATATTATTCCAATTTTGTACAATACTTTTGACCATTTTCTTTCTATTTATCTAGCCACTAAGCCAAATTCAGCACATTTTCTGTTTAGAAAGATATTTGTATCAATGTTCACCAAATACTGATGGCTATTTCTAGGTGCTTCTCACTTTTCCAACTATATATGTCTCATGTCAAACTTTTTTCTATCTAAAACAACATATCACAACAGATTGATTGAAGAAGCAGATATGAAAATTCAACAGTTTTCAATTAATCAAGACATTAAAGAGATTTTTAAAACTGTAAATAATGTAACTTTCTCACAGATTCCTTATTTTAGAAAATAAAACATTGTCTCATAAAAGCCTTTTTGTTAAGGTAGTGGTTTTGTCATTGCTTTTTAAAAATAAATGCATGTAAAATTTTTATGAGTTTTAATTCCTAATATGGTAAATATTAATACATATAATCTACATAAAGCTTTTTGGGATCTTCTATAATTTTTAAGATTATAAAGGAGCCCTGAGAATAAAAAAAAAGAAAGAGAACTTCTATCCCAATGACTCCTAACCGTATAACAGCAAATCAAATCTTTCTTATGAGCCACAACTCATATGGACATGTTTGACAGAGAACTCAAAATAATCCAGAAGAGAACAGCTTTCCAACCTGTCAAATCTGCTCTCCCACCTTGTCTCTAATGGCCCCACAGCTCACTGAGTTTCTCATCTCCCAAAACTAAGAATCTCCACTGACTGATCCCTTCAACGCACCCCAGCTCCAACCCGTAGCAAGTTCCACTGTTACTACTGCTAAAATATCTTCCTATCATACCGCTTCTCACCACCATCATCACTATCACCCCAGTGCAAGATTTTCTTGGCATCTTAAAAATTAAAAAAAAAAAAACATACTGAGTAAAGTTTACAAAGGGTAGTTACAGAAAAGAGTAAGATCATCAATCATCATCATCAAAATACAAGCAGAATCCAAATTTATGTAATAAATATTACTAGCTTTTCTGTTTTAATATAGTTTTTAATAATTACAGTGATTCCATTTTCTCTAGCCAAACTCAAAAATCCTTAACTCAAAAGAATATGTGATACTTTAAATTTCATATAACTTTCATTTAAAAAATCTAAGCATACAACTTTAAAAGCTTTAAAACATTAGCACCAAATAAACTGTATTTGAACATTTTATGTTTCAAAAACTTTTTCATTTAGACCATGGATTAAAATCTATATTCTATATGTTCTTTTTATTAGATGTATATAGTTCAACTTACCTTATCGAGTTCATCTGAAATTGCAATACCTGGGATTCAAAAGAGATTTATAAAAATGTTTTAGAAGCAATATTTAATAACCTAAGTTTAAAAACAAAGACAAAAGCTCTATTTGTAAAACTACTGTGTTCTCCATTTTATTTTTTCTTTTTATTAGTGCTTCAACATAATGTGGTATATCCTTTCTACTAATGAAAACAAGTGAGGACTTTAAGTTAACTATGACTGCGTGAACTGCTGAAACAACCCAAATGATGCAACAAAAACCCACCAATAGCATGCTTCTTGTTAGATGTAGAGCTGGTGCACAAGGGTAATTTAGGGATGTAGTCTTTATGTTAGAATGACAATCAAGTACAACTTAGCCCATTACAATTCCGTTCTTGCTTATGAACTGATTTAGACTCCCACAGTGATAAAATATTATGGCAGAATGGTGGCTGCAGATCATTTATTTTAATTCCCTTATTTTACAGACGAGCACACTAACTAGAGAGCTTCAGGGGTTTGCCCTGCAGTCCCCTAAATTGACAGTTTCTTAGGCCAATGGATAAATAATCCTTCCCCACAACTTTCCTGCTTATCATCCACACATTCCTCACTGTACATCATTTTAATTCCTGTCTTTACCATTTCTCCAAAATTGTTGTGTCAGTAATATAAAAATTTAGTCCTTGAATTTCTCTCTCTGTGATGACAGACACTGTTAAGCTCACTCTCTTTCTTGACATGCTACCCTCTCTTTTCTATTCTCCCACTTTGTCTCCTTACAGGCATCCTCTTCTTCGAGGGAGTCCTTTCCTGAAATGCCAAGGGTTTTTTGCTGAGCTGTCTTTCTCTTCTTCTCTTCCCGTGGTTAGCTAACCCATACCACAGATACCTTTATTTCTCTATGTGGTGATAACTAACAAATATTTTTCTCCAGCACAGACTTTCCTCCTGCACGAGTTGCTGAATTCCTCTGGGCGTGTCAGTCATGTCAGGCTACACACTTCACTGTCTCTTCATATCACTTCTCCCTTTTTTTTTTTTTTTTGAGTGATGTTGTGTCTGATGCTGTACACAGGCGCTGTGGCCAGGCATTGGAGCTGGTGTGACCAGCCGTTGGGTTTGGGGCATAGGATACAGGAATATGGTGACAAACCCCAGTGTGGGGTGGGCAAAGAGACAAGGAAAGGTCTAAAGTCTAGAGTCCAAAGGAACACAGAGAAAATAAGAATAGGGTTGAAGCTAAAGTTCAGCAGGCTATAAAGTGCAAGACAGAATGAGCTGGGTTATTAAAGGGAAAAACACACTCAAGAAAAAATGCCTGCGTAATGGTCCTCTCACGTGCTCAGGAATGAAGTGTCTGCGGAGGGTGCTTGATGGGATCCCAGACCACCTCCCACTCCACTAACCTAACAAATCAATTATCTCAGTGAACGACATCAGTCTTTCCCATGTAGATAAAACTAGAAACACAGGTGTATTTGAGACTCATTCTTCATAGCAATATTCTATGAAATTCTCTTTTGGTAAGAATTATTGGGAGCAAATAATTTTATATGTTACTGCACTAAAAGAGAGTCTAGTTACCACTTTGAGAATTTTGGGTAACCTAAGCTTAACAATTATTCAAGGACTTGCTGTATTACACATCTCCTTCAAACAAAGGAGAGAGGGCTCCTTCAAACAAAGGAGAGAGGGCTTCGGGAAGGAGTAGCTTACAGCTACCAGCCAGTGTCCGCACTGGGTGTGTGCAGTGGGGAACTCTAAGACATAATGGACTTGCAGCACAGAGTATATGTGAGATTAGTAAGAGACCCCAAAGTTTTCTGAACAGTTATAAACCTTGATACAGGCCTAACATAAGTACACTTTTATGAATGTTGGGGTTTAGAAATACATAAAGTTATAAATGGTCACTTGGAATAACTCAGATTTTAAGATAATGTAGGAATTTTATAGAACATCAAATGGTTTGTGTCACAGTCTATAATATATTAATAATTATTCCAGTTTACAAAAACCAAACATATATTTAACTACTTATATTTACATTTAATACAACAAAAACATTCTTTTCCAATCCAAATTCAAAATTAAAATGAATATATTATTTAAAATAAATATTTAAGACTTAATCTATTTTAACAGTGGGAGATAGTAGATATATAAAACAAAATTCTTTTTCATCCAAAGTCATAAACCTTAGATACCTAGAATTATATAACCCAAGATTACATTGTCTGAAATCCTCTTGATTTTTTTAAACTTTTTACATTAAATGTGCTTGATCTTGCAAAAAAAAGTTTTTTCATTAAATTTTTAGAAAGCTATCAGTTGATTTTTAAATTTCTTTTACATCTCAGTTTATAAATCCATTATTCATAAAGATAGCAATAATATTTTACCTATCTAGACTGTAGGCAAGAATTAGCAAGTAAGTCAAGGGCCTTCGAACAGTCAAGACCTGCATCATACGGAACCTGCCCATCGCTCATGAGCCAGCTCCTTGGAGCCTTGTCCACTGTCCGTCACTCTCAACTTCAGCAACTACCAGAAGTTGTTCTGCAGAGTCAAGAAACGTCACCAGTGAAAACTGGTGGTGAAGAAAAGGTTGTTAGGATGACATACTAAGATACAAGAAAATTATGGGTCCCAGAATAAAACTCAAACTAGATAAATGGAAAACTTGCCTTGGAGAAGGAATCATGCCTCTCATCATTCCTACCATTTGGTCTGACATATTTTGTCCAGATACCTATTATATTTTCTCACATTTACCTATTTTGATGATTTTGCTTAGTAAATTATCTAAGTAAATCTCCATCCTATTATAGATAGTTCTTTCTTTTCCCTGTTTTCAATGTCAAATTACTGAGGGTACTTTTCATTTCTTGTTATTTCACATTTAATCAAAGCTCAAATTGACTAAAAGAAGTTGGGAGAATTTGAAAGAAACACTTCTTTACAGAAACATGAAGCTCCAGTGGGAACCATTTATGATGAGTAGCCAGGACACTTCTCCTAGTGCCTAGCACAGCATTCACAGCTACTCATTAGCTTTTAAAAGCCATCGTATTTTAAGATAATATTTTTAAAGTTTATAGGAATTCAGGAACAGTGGTGAACACAAAATATGCAAGGGAAAATGCAGTGAGTGGGATGTTACCATACCCTCTAAGGGAGAAGGGACCAGGATTTGGTCGTGGGACCCTTGATGCTAGAGCACATGGTCTTCCTAGGCCTTGAAGAAAATATTATTGTATCAGAGCAGTCAAAGAGGCTGCAAATTCCTGTAACATAAAAGTCCCCACCCAACCCCTGCTACCAAGACTTCCATCTTCATCGCCTGTATTACCAGCTGCACCCTTTAAGCACCAACAACACAAAATTTGCTTTCCCTTGAAATACCTTCTTACACACGTGCTTCTCTCTCTGCCAGGAACATCCCCCCACCCCCCACGACACATCTCACCCTCCTTTTACCTTCGCTTGACCTTTTTATCCTTCCACACTCTGTTCAGGCATATTCTCCATCAGTTTGGCCCTAAGTCCCAATGAGGGCACTTCTATGGGTCCCTCAGCTTTCCTAACACACTTTCCACAAGTCTCTGGACTTCTGCTTTTCACAAATACCTCCCCTACTAAAGGTAAACTTGAGTTCTGGGTGCATGTAGTAACCATCTTTGTATTCCCACATAAATGTGTGGAGATTAGGTAAATGAACGTGCGGTGAATGAACAAACAATTACTATATTATCTGCTTTCATTTTCACTCACAGGCTGTTTATTCTCTAACTTGGCAATTTGCAACTGGTGCACCACAAGAACTGTTAAAACATGCAATACCTTACTATTTCGTCAGGGGCACTGACCTCTTTCCCCTTAGATTGTTAAATTAAAAAAAATGACAACAGCCAACATAATAATAACCATCTAATGTAAATGAATCAAAATTATACCTATTTTTTGTCAGATTGGCAAAAAATATATTTTTGGGTGTGCCACAGAATTTAGTAATTAGTTTATGCAGGGTATGAGATGAAAAAGCTTGAAAATTGCTGTTCTAACTTCTCAGGCTGTTTGTCAAACAAGACTTTTCAAGTGTGTTTTTGACTGGCAAACTCAGAAAGTCCTTTTTTTTCTTGGCAGAATCCAGATTGCTTTGTCAGCCATGGAGCACAAATATCTGTCCACTGTTCCCCCAACAGCTGGCCATTTTTCCCTGGTAAAGCCCCAGTCAGTGTTTCCACATGAACTGTAACCCACAGACCACTGTCTGGATGGATGGAAGATTCTCATCCTATCACTGTCTCACTTCAGAGAAATCTGCCAAAAGCAGTGAAGGCATCAGGCTCCGGAAGCACCAGAAGCCCAGCTACCCTGGGAGCACATCTCGAGCAGTGGGTTGTATTGAGCAATGTCACGTAATAGAGAACAGCTGCTCTTTAGCTCTTAGTTCATTTATTTATTTACCTATTTATTTTCAGCATAATTTCCCGAGATAAGCTACCATAAAAACCAAATACAGCATATCTATGAACACCAAAACACACGTAATCTCATATCAGAGGCCCACACTCTGAGAAGAAGGGTGTCTGCAGTGATGAAAGAGTGAGGGCGGGGTCTCAGCGAAGAGGGGTCAGAAGAATTGAAACCAGAGGTCGTGCTCACCCCACAAGTCCAGACTGAGTTATGCATTAATCACTGTGCTTCACGCCAGAGAGTCCAGGCTCAGAGGGCCCTACCCACAGGAGGCTCGAAGTCCAGGGAGGGCATAAGTGAAAATTTAATAATGGCAGGTAAGTATGTTCAGAGAGAAGTATAGAAGCACAAAAAGACAGGCACCAACTTCAGTCCAGAGAAAGGCAGCAACAGAGAAACCGGCTTGGAGGATATAGTTTTCCAGCTGAGGCTAAAGAACACCGTAGGATTTCACTTAGGGAAAAGGGACGCAGTGGAGGGAATTGGGGTGAGGTTTCAGGGCACTGGGACGGCATAAGCAAACACAGGAAATGAAGAACATCAGTGAGGCTCAAAAACTCTTGTGTTGCTGGTGCATACCTAGCCTGAGAAGCGTGAGATAATACTGGAGACGTGATTAAAGGCCAGGTCATGGAGTACCTCCTATGAGATTTTAAGAAGCCACTGAATATCTATAACAAGTGAGTGTCAGGTTTTCACTGCAGATCCATCTCACTGACGGCAGTGAGGGCAGTGAGAGCAGTGAGGGCAGTGAGTTAAGAGTGTGGACAAGACAGTTACTTGTTGCCCAAGCTGTTTCAAGAGTCCTCCTGGGCACACCAGCTAGACTGCAATCCCCAGCCTCCCTTCCTCTTGGCTGAGGAATGTGGGCAGATGTATGGCTGTGTTTCCAACTCTAGGCATCAGAAGCCTCCCCCGTGATTCTCTCCTCTCTCCTTCTGCTTCAGCAGGGCTACTACAAGTCTTGTGCTGAAGATGGCAGCATAACAGATGGAAGAAGTCTACACCCCTGGCTCACTCCACAGGCTATCCCTGAGTGAGAAAGTACTTGTGTTGTGGGAAGCCACAGGGTATTGGCCTTGAGACTCCCCCAATGTAAGGTCATAGCCATCTAGCCAGATGCAAACTCAGTAGAGGCAGGAACTACACCTGTTTTTCCTAACGTGGGCGGGAATGACAGGGAACATGTGAAATGGATAAGCCAATGATCTGGTCAGTGTCACTGTGCGTGCAAACTAGGGGGCACTAACAGGACTGGAGAACAGAATCAGACCCAAGACATATTTTAGAGGGAAAATGAGCAAGATTTGGTAAGAATGAATTTCGAATGGTAAAGGAGGAGAGAGGAGTCCAGAGGGCTCCAGTTGGGTGACTTGGTGAGTGAGGGTACCACTGTCTGAGACACAGCATGCAGAACTGGGAGGCAGGATCTACTCTGATACATTGAAATTTAGCATGGCAGTGAGATATCTGAGTTTAGATATTTTTAGACATTTGTCTCAAAAGCATATGCAATCTAAATGTGAAATATAGTTAGTCCTCACCTAACGGCACCAGTAAACTCTGCAACTTTAAGCAAACTGATATATAATGAAACCGATTTTTACCATAGGCTAATTGATATAAACAAAAGTTTCTATGGCATCAAGATTTATACATATTAATATAAGCCTTTGACACATTAATAGGATAAGATTCTTTTCATAAACAGAACATAGCAGTAAACTGAAAACTCATTTTATCATTGTTTGCTCCTAAAGTAAATCATAGGTGGCAGAGCAAAACCTCTAACCTAGGCCCTTGGATTACAGAATCATTGCTTTTACAAAAAGTTTGTTACAAGGTACTGTGTCAGGCTCGGAAAGGACTCTGAGAAGAACCTGTCCCAGTTACTATCGTTCAGAAATGTAGAGACCTTAAAACCTCATGGAAGCAATAGGTATGTTTGCTAAATGACACAAAACAAAAGGGTTCAGAAAAGAAGAATGAATAGATACCATTAGGTGTACGCTTGACCTCAGTAACAGAGACACTGTAGGAGAAAGTCAAATAACCTTGGGGGTGAGGGAGTCTATAGCTCTGCCTGCTCTGTATAACCAGTATTCCCATGATTCTGTGTAACATGCAAGATCACTCCTTAGCTCCAATCTCATGCACTTAGAACTCCTCAACCTCTTACAGAATTTGAATGAGGATGTTAAAAATGGGTTACTGGCAATATTAATGAACGTTTCTACTTTAATATTGGTTAGGAACTTCAATTACGATTAAGTAACTGAACTTACTTCGAGAGAGCTTCTCAAGGGCTTTTCCCAGCTTCTTGCTCTCTTGAAGGATGTGGTTCAATTCATCAAAATCACGGCTTTCTGGTTTAGTTCGCCAGTTCCACTTAGGATGATCTACTGACCTTGGCGCTACATTTAAAAAAAATGATTACTTCAGAAGCATGCTACAGAGTGATAAAAAACTTACTGTTCATAATAATGTGAGAGGCTGTATGTATCAAGATTGCTGTAGAAAATAAAACTGTCTGTCTTGGAAATGGTTTTCTTGTGAGCAAACAGTGGGGAAGTTATAAAGCTGCTTTTAAGAAATGTTTTAAATGAACAAGTAAAGCAAGATGATGTTTATAGAAAAAAGAAAATTCAGGTATTGGTTCAAAGTTAATGATTTTTATAATTTAAGAAAAACACTCATGTAAAGTTGATTTTGTTTATGTTTTAGCAGCTTAAAGGTGGTCACTGACTTCATCAGCAATTAGTAAATATTTCTAAGACATTCTTGATGTCTTCTAATAAAACTGTATTTACCTTCACTTCCCTCCAAATTCCAAACTCTCACTAGAATTATGTTATGGTAAAGGAATTTTTATTGATTTTTTTTTATCAAAGAATTAGTTAAACAAGGAGAGAAGCCATTATTAAGCAAAAAATAACAATGTGAAATAGATTGATGAGTGGTACACAAATTTAGCAAGCTGGAGAATACTGAAACTTCATCCCTGAAGGGAGAGATACCCTAGAATGGGGACATTTCAGATCATTTAAGCATTAAAGCATTGATCGAGGAGGACAAATGACAAAGTATAAGGAAATAAAAAGTACTGTTTTTTCTTTTTTGAGGTGGGAAGAATTCATTGAATGTCCAGTATAATTTGAAGCACATTATTACTAAATTTTACAACAATGGGAATAAAGATCTTAAAACCTTTCAGAGACAAAAGCAGCAAATCAAATTGTCATCAGACTTCTCAATAGCAAGCTTCTCCACAGAAGACATGGGAGAAATTCCTTCAAAATTTCAACTGAAGGTTACTTCCAACTTAGAATTTGTACCCAACTACAGGTCCAACCAAGATACTTGTAAAGACTCAAAATTTATCTTGTAAGCACTCCCCCCCGCCGCCCGAAAGCTCTGAGTGGAGGTGCTCCACCAAAATGATAAGTGGAAAGACTTGGGACTCAGGGAATCAGTGATTCTCCACAAGAAAAAGGAAAAGAGATCCCCAGGATGACAGTGAAGAACAGTCTTGGGAGACAGCTCAGCTGGGAAAGCAGCTAGAGACCAAGGAGCCAAGACTGGAGCAAGATGACAGAGGGCTGCAGGAGAGAGGGATCTAACATTTTTCAAAGGAAACAAAGTATAAAGTATAAAAGAAGACTGAAGTTCAGATTACTTGATGCGTTTGATCATAGTGAGAGTGTGTAATACTTTAATGCAGGATTTGGTGAAGTATTAGTGATGGGTACGTAGAAAACAAACAGAAAAAACAATCAATTATTAATTCTAATTAATAGTCAACTAATAACAAATTAATAGTTGGACATCTTATGGCTGTACTGTGAAAAAAGGCTAATTAATGTAGTTTTACTTATATCAATCAGGGTAAATATTCAACCAATGTTTGGAATATCTGCGTGACTGTGCTGAGATGTGGTCTGGGTGTAAAGCACACAGTCTTAGCATGAGCTCAAGAGATAACACCTCAGATTTAAAAAACAAAGCAGCCCTGGCTGGTGTGGTTCAGTGGGTTGAGTGCCAGCCTGTAAACCCAAGGGTCGCCTGTTCAATTCTCAGTCAAGGCATAATGCCTGGGTTGCAGGCCAGGTTCACAGTAGGGGGCACACAAGAGGCAACCATGCACTGATGTTTCTCTCCCTCTCTTTCTCCCTCCCTCCTCCTTTCTCTAAAAATAAATAAATAGAATATTTTTAAAAATAAAATAAAAAGTAAAGGAGAACCATGTTAAGTACCTTGTATATTTAGATATCTAGACTTGTGTACCAAAAGCAACTTCTAAAAGAGTTCAAAGTGGTTCGACATTAGAAGCAGAACAAAGAAGAAAGAACACTGTCTTGTAGTACTCAACTACTTAACTTTTTAAACTATACATATTTTTGTTTTGATAAATATAAGTAAAATAAATTTTTAAATATTTATATGGTAAGGCTACAGGAAAGACAGACTGTTAAAATATATTTTCTGCCACCTATTTAAAAAGTAATCTGGCAATAACTATTATAATAAAAGATATACTGACCCTGTGACCCAGCAATCATGTGTCTGGTAAATGATAATAAAGCAATAAAAATACCTATACTTATATATACATTTTAAGGTTATTTATTTTATCAGGAAGTACAAGATATTAATTTGTTTATTTTAACAGTTGTCGGTTGCAAAAGTCTAGAAATAATTTAATGTCCGTCAGCAGGAGAATAAATAAATTAAGGCACATGCACACTATGATACAGTGTGCACTTATTTAAAAATATAACTTAGATCTAAGTCTATTATCATGGAGATATGCCCACAATGCATTTCAACATGAGAAAATAAAATTACTTATGTTTACAGTTTAAAGCCAGTTTTATAAAGCAAGTCAACACATTTATTTTATGTTAGTTTAAACAAAGGAAAAAGTGTAAAAATGCAACCTGTGAAAAGATACAAACTATTTCTGAGGGAGTAGAATTTGAATGGAAAGAAAGAAAAAAGACTCTATTAATACATGTCTGTATTTTTAATTTTAATTGTCAAAATAAGCAAATATTACTTCTATAATTTAAATGAATCTAAAATTTACAAATAGAATGCAGCTGCTTCCTCTATGTTTTTTTGTTTAAGGGACTTGAGGTAGAGATGTCAGCTAATATCAACACCCTGGTGTCCAGGCCGTGAGAGTGGAGAGAGTGACCATGCTAAATGACTCGAGAAGAGACTCCCAGGCCTATTGCTGTTACCCCCCAGGCCATTCCCCTGGGGCCCTCTGGGAACAAGCCCAGGCATAGGGGAGAGAAACTGAGAAAAGGAAGCAGATAAAACTATATTTGTACCATATCCTTAAAAAATTGTTTGGTACTGCTGTAAACCTCCATTGAACAATTTCTCTAATCTGCATCATTGTATTATCTAATTTCCTGGAAATTACCATATGCTCTCAAGAGTTCTCTTTTTTTTTTAATTCACAAAATAAAAGCATAGATTTAAAAAAATAGGTCCCAATTAACATTCCCAAATAATGGCCAGATGTGATCAGCTGCCAAATGACCCAAGGCCTTGCAGACCTAGCAACTGAACGCACTGACATGACAAGCCCTGGTGAGACCAGCAGGAGAGCAAACCAGCCAACCCACTGATCCATGAGAAATTATCAATTGTTGTTTTTTTTAAGACATTGAACTTTAGGGAGGATATATGAGACAATAGAGAACTGATACAACACTCAAGACTTTTCTCAGCAACTCTCAAGTAAAACTAAAGAAAAAATTTTTTTAAATATTTTGTAGCTTGTGATGATTTGACACATACATATACATACATATATATGATACCCAATTTATCAATAAAACCAAATCTTGAGCAACCAAGGCTACAGTATGATCATGGTTTAATCAACTGTGGGTTTGGTGATTTCTAATGATGTTTCAATAAATAATGGAAGGGCACAGGCTCCAAATGGAAATACCTGTATAGCTTTTTGATGAATTAAAAACCTTAGTTATACTTAATCTCAAAATTGAGAGCTACAATTTAAATACCTTTTTAAAAACATTCTGGGAAGAAATGGAAAACAACAGAATAGTAACAATAACATATAATCCATATGTGGTGACAGAATCTGAGAGAGGGCGGTCTGTGACTTCACTGAGGCAAAGCCCACCCCCAGGGCCAGAGGCTGACCATGGTACCCCGCAGATGGCATCCTGCACCAGTCCACAGGAGCTTGCTACCTCACACACCAGCCTACAGTATCCTGAGCAGGATGACTCTGGACAATTCATTATTATATTAATCAATTCTGACTCACTGTGACCTCTACCAGAAGTTTTCATCTATGGGTCAAAAATAAATGTACTGTTTCTGTCAAATGACTTTACCAATAAAACTGCTAATATTTGATAATATTTTATGCCTATGATGATGAGGGATATTAGCTTCTGGTTTTCTTTTCTTGTAATGTCCTTTAAACTTGTTTTAATAGCAGGGTTGTGGAAGCCTCATAACGTGAGTTGGAACATGTACTCTTCTTCTCCTGGTATTATGTCCTCTTCAAATGTTTGAGTTCTTCTGTGAAGCCATCTCGGTATGGAGTTCTCTTTGTAGGAAACTGTTTAATCATAAATTCAAAAGTTTTTAAATTGATGTAGGACATTTAAATATTTCTATTTCTTCTTGAATCAGTTCTGGTAATTTCTGTCTGTCAAGGAATTCATACTTTTAATCTAAGTTGTCAATTTTATTGGCAAAATGTTATTCAAATTATCTCCTCATTATCTTTTAATGCCTTCAGAATCTATAGTCTTCTTCTCTTTGTCACTCCTGACATTTGTAGTTGGTTTCTCTCTCTCTTTTTAAAATCAGTGTTGCTATACTTTAATCTAGTCTATTAATCTTTTCAAATAACCAACTATTGGATTTATTTATTTTTCTCTGTTGTTTTCTATCTCAACTTCTATTATTATTTTTATCATTTCTTTTTCTCAATGCATTTCTCAATATGCTTATTTTAAATCATTATTTTTAGATTCTTAAAGTGAAAGCTCATTAAGATCATTAATTTTATACTATTTTTTCTAAGCAGCATTTTAAAGCTATAAATTTTGTCCTAAGTCCTGCTTTAGCTTCATCCTGAAAATTTTAATCTTTTGTTCTTCAAAATGTTGTCTAATTGCCTTTGTGATTTTGTTCTTGGCTCATGGATTATCTGAAAATATGTTAATTTTGAAATGTTTGCAGGGAAGTTTCTAGGCTTAATTTGACTTTAGTACAATTTTGGCAGCAAACATACTCCATACGACTTCAATCATTTTTTATGATACAGCCTATGGTCTATCTTGACGAATATTCCATGTGGCATTGAGAATTACATATATTCTAACTTCACTGAGTAGAGTGTCCTAAATATGTCAAAGTTGTTAATAGTGTTCAAAACTTTCATATACTTACCCATTTTTATCTCTTTATTGTATCTGTCTATATCTTACTCTGTCAACTTATAAGTTCTGTCAACTTATCCCTCCATGTCATTGAGAACTTTGTCATTGGGTCCTCTGGATCTCCAGTAATATCCTTCACCTTGAATTCTACTTAGTCTGATATTACCACAGCCATTAAAGTTTTTTTATATTTACTATTTTAAACTGTTTGTATCTTTATGTTTAAAATGAATCTTGTAAACAATCTACACTTTTTAAATCTAGCCTATAAATTCTTGCTTTTTAATTGTTTAGTACATTTACATTTATTATAATTATTGACATGCTTGCTCTTAAGCCTACCATTTTGGTATGTGCTTCTAGTTTTCCAGTCTGTTCTTTATTTCCCTGTTCCTCTTTTCCTGCCTTTGCTTTGGAAGAATAAATCATATTTTGGGGGGGTATTCCATTTTAACTCATCTACTGAATTTTTACTTATGCCTTTTGTGCTCTGCAGTGTTGCTTTACATATTACAATAATCATCTTTAACCTATCACTGTAAAAGTTCAAAAGATATTCTATTACTACAGGAACAATTTAATATATTTTGACAACATATTTCTAATTAAGAATTCTGAGTCTTACACTCTCATTGTTATTTATATAATCTCTATGTATACTATAAAAACCCATTTTGTTATTAATTTTGCTCTAAAAAGCTAACAGTCAGGTGGAACCAGAGCTTGGCAGTAACAGAAAGAGACATCATCAGATGCCAGAGCATCAGCAACATTCTGTGATCTGGCAGCACCCTCCTGGAAGAAGGACCAGCTCTGCAGGGTAAGCAGCCTTTCAGCATTCTTCCCTCAAGTTGATGGCTTCCAGTACTGACTGACTCCTTTAAAACAGCAAGCCTCTAGCTTTGGCCAGTGAGGAGCATCATTCCATAAACTGAGAGGTCACGGATTCAATTTCCAGTCAGGGCACCTGCCTTGGTTGTGGGTTCAGTCCCAGGTCGGGGCATGTAGGAGAGGCAACTAATCGATGTTTCTTTCTCTCTCCCTCTCCCTCCCTTTCCCTCTCTGTAAATCAATGAATATGTCCTTGGGTGAAAATAAGAAAAAAAATTAAAAATAAATAAAATAAAATGAGCAAGCCTCTAGAGGTAAGAAGGAAGGACGTGAGGGAGGGAGGGAAAGAGATAGGCAGACAGAGAAAGAGAAAGTAAAAACAAATAAATATAGACACTTCAGTAATAAATAATAAGCGGGACTTCAGGGAAGTAATGGGTGAAGGATTTCAAAAAATTTTGTTAAATGTTTTGAATACAAATTTCCTTCGCCCATGCTCTAAAAGATTTCATTTGTTCTTACATACTTTATTAACTATTAACTATAGGGTGGGTGTCACGTCACACGTGATGCAATGCTGTACTGAACACAAGAGGCGAGGGACCCATTCCAGGCAATATACATTCTTAAAAGAGTATATTCCAAATGGTCTAAAATAATCAATTACACATGATTTAGAATATGAATGAGTTTATATATAAATAAAGCTAAATGTTAATGCTGAAATAGTTATGAAATTCATTAGGATCAACAGCCAGAAATATCAGATAAAGTATTCGGCTTTGATTCTTTCTTTTTCTTCATTTTGTTATTAACATAGACTTACATATATTAAGTAAATTTTGAATAATAAACTTCCTTACATGATTTGGATTCTGGTGATGGTGGAGAAATGTTAGACACAGCAAGGTCACTTTTCGACTTTTTTGGCTTCTTTGCATTTAATTGCCAAGGCTTGTCATAGCTTCTGAAATCCCTTCTTGCTCCTTTATGTTCTATTAAAACAACAACAGCAACAACAAATACATATATGCTCAATAATAAGTGATTTTAAGATTCATAAAAAACTAAATTCATGAAGTCAGGCATATTCAGCAAAACCTATAGGTTACCTTATATCCAAAATAATGCAAATATCTACAAGCATTGCTTGCTTAATTTCCCCTGTACATTTAAGTTATCAATTTGATATGAATCAGTTTGTACATTAGTATGATTAAGATCATTTTAAACTGTGAAATCATTTGAAAGAATTTTTAAGGCATGAATTACCATTACTTAAAATAACATTCTTTAAATGTTACCATGGAAGAAAGCATTGTATTCTGTTGTAAATAAAAACAACTAAACATTTAAGTAAATTATACTCACTGATGTTAGCTTATCCATGATTCACTGTGACCCACAAAACTGACATTCACCTAAATTTCTTCTAGAATACCTCTCACTTTTTCCACTTTTCTCTTCAAGAAAAATTAATTCAACCAACTCTATTGAAAGTTATAGTTCCTCTTCAAACATGGTCAACGTCATACCAATTCCCAAGTTAAATGATCTTTTCAAGAGTTCATCCCTCTTACTTCTTTACCAAGCATTTCACCTTTTTAGACAGTTATCTTTACAGAATTTTTTCTTCTACTCTCAGAGTATTACTTTCTTCTCATCCTATTAACCTGACTGCTTCTTTTCTGCTTTATTCATTGCTTCCTCAACTTCCTCTTTCATCTAGGTAGCATTCTTTAGCATTTCCTTCTGTCTCCTTGTTTAAATTTACAAGTTTTCAAACCATCCAACCTTTATGAATGACTTACACATCTTTCTCTGGCCACCCACTTACAAATATCAAACAGACCTCATGATACATTATATGGATTCCTCAAATACTCATGTTAGGGCTCTATTTAACTAGGTGTTATAGAATTTTCCCATCTCCAACATCCCATTAAATACCAAAAGATGCATAAATATTCTAAAACACTAGGAACAAAAATATTGGTCTGTGATCTGGCAGAACTCAGGAGATATTTCTACAAATAGGATTAATACAAAAGATAGGTACATCAGAAAGATATTGGAGGATTTCAAGACATCCACAAGGCTTGCCCCTATCTCCAAGTTATCTCCTTATGTGGTTCCATAATCTGTCAGAGTTTTTCTTTCTACATCCATACTAGCACCAAAATTTCTTCTAAGGCAATATGGGTAAGGGAATACAGAATCCTGTGTATAAAATGTAGTATCTCGTGATACAAAGAAAAGCTAAAAGGAACCAGAGGGAAAAGATACATTGGATATTGTGCCTTTTTAAATCTCCACTACTGGCAAAGAAAAAGAATCCATTTTAATTTAAGTAATCTAGTAATAATATTGTTCTTATTAGGTGTTTAAAAAGAAATAAGAGAGAGAAGGTCACTCGTCAGTTTAGCAGAGACCCTCAAAATTCACCTGAGAGTGGAAAATTTAGTGGTGGCATTAGTTTCATCTGCCTTTCTAACATTTTTCAAAGAATTTTAAAGGTTTCAAGCAGCATGGTGAGAGGACAAATAAGAATCTACCTATACATTTATGGATAAACCTAAATTAAAGCTAGATAGAATACTGCTCATTTAAGTTTGAATAAACAAAAACATGATTTTGAAGAAAAAATTCGATATACAAAACAAAATGCAACATTCAAGATACAGAGAAAATTGATAGTTTTACAGAAGATTTATTATTGAAAACATTCAAATTTTAGAATGTGGCTGGCCTGTCAGTAACAAAAAAAGACAATGAATTCTGTGAAACAAAAAGAAATGAGAGAGGAGACAAGCTAACCAACCTACGATAAAACCATAACTGCAGCCAGAAATCAAAAAAGACGAGACAAGGAAATACCAACATTTAAATTTGTGTTCTAAGCCGGGAAGAGAAACACTGATGCTGTAGAAAACAGAGTCAGTGACCCAGAGCACACAGCTGACAAATATGCCTCCCTAGAGGTTAGTCTACAAAGGCAAACACCATAACAAATGAAATGAGAGGACAGAGAACAGTAAAGGAAACTCGATTAATACATATGTGATTTTAGTTAAGAAGAAATCAAAATAAATATGATAGAAGCAACAACTAAGTACACAAAAGGGAAAATGCTCTAGGCTTAAGCCCTGGATTTGCTCATTGAAAGAATTCATTAAATATAATGAAAAGTTACAGAAAACAGGAATACATTTAGATTTTTTTATTCCCATTAAACTTTTGAATATGAGAAATAAAGCAAATCTCATAAGTATTGTCAAAGAATAATTAGAATATCTAAGAAGGAACAAAAATAAGGCTGCTTTCAGGTTTGTCCTTGACAATGTTAAGTGACAAACTTTTGAAAACATGTGTCCCAAGTTGCTTGATACATTTAAAGTTAATAAGAGACCATCCTAAGATATTTTCAATAAGTATTACACCCATACTTTGAATACTGAGATATTCTGTAGTTAATTAGAACATACACCAAAAGAAGCAATTCAAAATTTCTGTCAAGGTTTAAACTGACATTATTTACTATCACCTTAATTAAAATTTCTTGTTATATTCATATCCAAGAATTATTGTATGATTTCCTTCTCCCTTTTGAAATACTCTTTCCTCTAACATTTTTCTTCTTCCCCTTCTGGAACACACATGTCATGGTTAACAGACACTCTATTCTCAACCCTCTCCCCTCCTTTCATGTCTTAGGAGACAGCTCATTCCTCCCCCCAGAGCACTGGCAGCTCCCAGAGAGTGTTCATTCTTTCACGTGCTGCTCTCTACAGGATGGGTCTTCCAGGCCCACCACTGTCGAGCAGACAGTCCCTCCTGCCTGGTGATGAATGCTGCCTGTCTACACTACTCACCACTCATCACTGCTGCCATTTTTCTGCCCCTGATGAATCCCGCAGCCCTACTCACGATATTGGTACAGTCTCATTTGACCTTTCAACAACTTGGATGAAACCCTGGTGACCTCTGAAACCTTAGACAAACCACACATTAAGCCTCAGACTTCGTTGTCCTCCTGAACTTTAAAAACCTTCACTTCCTTGAGGCTTAAGACACTTTCAAACTGAGGCCAACAACAGGCCTTTCTCAACATCTGGAATCTTTCCACCTCAGAAGTCACAGAGGGTGCAACCTGCTGCGCTTCCGTCTGTGCTCCCCTCACATTATCACTGCACCCGCACCTGCACTCACACGGGCTTCCTAAAGGTCTTTGGCCCTCTGCTCTGCTTCTCATGTCTGAACCTTGTCCTTGCTCACTACCCTCTCATACCAGATCATGTGCTTCAATCACTTGCACGATTGGCTCACAAAAGTCTTCAGTTATTTTGCAAAACTCTTCTTCCACCCTCCACCCTCATGATGGCACTGAACCACAATTCTCAGTCAGTCCCTCCAACTCTTTCCACTGCTCCCCACCCGGTACTTCTGGGCACTGAAAAATCACAGTCTTGCTAATGGTTTCCATGATGGACTCATCATGTCTTCAACTTCCAATAGACCACAGAACTGCCTACAGTCCTTTTTTATTTTCCTTTGCCAACTCTTTTTTTTTTCACTTCCCTTGGTGACTTTCCACGATTGCATCGCTCACTTTGATCTCTCCTAAACAATCCCCAACCCTCTTGTCCTCAGTAAACAATCGTACTTCTCAATAAACAGACAACATTGTAGGTATCAGATATGATCTTACACTGGCCTTCTTCCAGTTCATCACCTGCTCAACCTATAAATTGAACCACATCTTCCATTCTTTCATGCCCACAGTTTTCATGATTTTGTATATAATATGAATGCCTCATCTGTGACTCCTGCCTGGACCCATCCAAAAAGTTTTAGACTCATACCTGTCTGCTGGAATTATGCACTCAGATGCCGTACAAGAAATTGAAATTCATCTATAGGAAATGGACTCATTACTGTCATTCATAAATTTACTCCTGTGTTTCCATCTTGCTTTATTAAACAAACATTTATGTCTTTACCCAGGTCAGTAAACTGGCAGTACTAAGAATCTCCACCTCCCCTTCACCCTTACTAAGCAATAAGTCATGCTGTACTTATTCCAGTCAGAATTCTAAGATGGTGCCCATCACCTTCGTTTCCTGTTGCTATACCTTACACGGTTCCCTCCCCTTGAGTGCAGACAGGATTTTTGACTCAATACAAACCAATAGAATATGGCAAAGATGATGCTAATTTGCTCATCATAACGCTTTGATTATGTCTTGTTATAAAAGACTCCATCTTACTAAACTTTAATGAGAGAAATTCCCTTGCTGGTTTTACAGAAGTGAGGTGCCATAATGTGAGAGAGGCATGTGGCAAAGAACTGCAGATTGCATCTAGGAGCTGAGAACAACCCTGGGCTGAAATCCAGCAAGGAAACAGGGGTCCCAGTCATAGAACTACAAGGAAATTACTTCTGCCAATAACCTGAATGAGTTTGGAAGCAGGTTTTTTCTTACTCCAGACTCCAGGTGAGAAGCCATTCAGCCAATATCTTGATTTCTAGAATTGTAAGACTAAACAAAGGATCTAGTTAAAGTGGGAAAATGGGGCTATCACCTAATGGTGAAACTGGTTCCCCAATGCCCAGAGTAAATGGATCTTTCTAAGACTGAAGTTACTACACAGATAAAACTGGGGCTGGGGGAAATAGAGAATAATCATCAAGGTTGGGCAACAAGAAGAGTAACTTTGTGGAAATCTACTATTTACCTTTCTACAGATAAGCTAACACATTTAATTCAGATTCTTCATAAAAAGAAAAAAAATTTTCAAGCTTAGAATAATTAGCTTGAATTCATACAGAATGAGATCTTTGCATGAAAATCTGAATCTTATTTCTATAAAATTTGATGGACAAATTCTCATATTTTAAAGCATAATACATGATAATGTATTTATATTGAAGAATATTTTATGACAAAATTTAGTATACAGGTGAAGTTACAGATCAATACCTGAAACCCTAGGTAACCATCTATATTTATCTTATAATTAAAAAGGCTTTTGTAAATTTTTACACTAAATGTATCAAAATTAACAATAAAATATATTTTTTTCATTTACCTGATGGTTCACTCTCTGCCCAGAGAGCTGCAGATCCAGATAAAGTTCTCTGAAGCTGCCCTTGGTTTCCTTGTTTGGACTGGAGATGGTCAATGAGAAACGGGATTGGCTGGTCAGGTGTCTCAGTTATCAATTTGGTCATCAATTCCTGAAAGCAGAAGAGAAAACACATTTACATTGAACAATAACAACGAGCACTTACTCAGCACTTACTATGGCCGGGCACTGCTCCAACTGCTTCACACACCACAACTCATTTAACCCCAAGGGCATCTTCAGGCAGGTGAGGGTCACTGTCCTCACTTCGAGGAAACAGAAGTGCAGGAAGGTTGTGTATGTTACACAGCTAACACATGGCAAAGCCAAGGTATATTTATTTACTTTTATTTTTATTATTCTACTTGGCCAAAACATACTAGAAATTTAATGTAAACTCTTTAAAAATTATAGTCTAAGAGTTTTAAACTTCAGATTATTATTTTAAGAGATGCAATTATAAACTCAACTTTCAATAAACTTCATATACATTACTCTACACCAATAATATTTTTTCTTCCTAACCATATACAAATATCCTCAAATGCAGAAACTTTATTGGAATGAAATAAACAAGTAATAAATCACAGAATCACAGAAACTGAAACATGTCTTAAACTGGCCTCTGAACAATACAGACTTTCATTTTTCCAAAAGCCCTGGTGGGTATTCATTCTTTCTTCATTTTTTTAACCAGTTAAGCAATGGAAATTTCTCTACCTGTCACACAGGCTGTTCCATTTGTGGACAGTTCTATTGATGCCTTAAATTGGGCAGAAATCTGACAAAGGGTAATATCTACACATTGTTTTTCCCTGTCAGAAACAGCAAAGAGCAAGCTCTACTGTGTGGTCAGTTAGAGTCCCCAGATTGTTCTCATATGAACAGTAGCCAAACCATGTGGATATCATTTTGTGCTGAGTAATGGGGTTTGTGAACTTGCATGCACCATTTTACATTCATATCAGTCACACTTCATCTTGTTGGGCTTAGCCCAGAATTCTAGTCTGTCAGTTGTCATTTTTAGTTCAGAAACTGTGCGAGGCAGTGGTTCTTGTGAGTAAACCAAACAATCAGATATCCAGGTACTGACAGAGTGGATATTGGAAATTCCCCATCCCCTTGTATTTTTTGTCAGTAGCCTATTTCCTCTGCCTTGAATGATCTTCTCTCAGATGGTGACGTCGCTGGCTTGCCATCATTTGTCTCTAATGATATCTACTTAGATACCAATCTTCACAAAAATTTTATACTTCATTTTTCAATTTTCTTCACATAATTTACCACCCTCCAGAATCATCTCATTTAATATTTGCTCATCTGTTTGTGCCTGTGTCTACTCCTTCCTAGTGTACTGAGAACAAGAATGGCCAGGTTTGATCAGTACTCTCTCCCTAGAATCAGGAACTCTACCTGGCTCACAGGTGGTACTGAGTGAATGAATGAATGTATGAATGAATGAACAAATGCCGAGCTTACTGACCACAGGTAAATATTAGTTATTAAAGTGGTTGCCTGACCTAATAAATAATATTTTAAGCATTCATAGATTTCTTAGACCAGCAAAATATATTCTTCTGACCTCTTATACAAGACACTGCTGTCATGATATCTCAGGGATATTGACTGATATGTATAATAGTCTAGGAACGCACAGTTATCTGGGTAGAGGCTAAATGGATTGTGTAGATGATAAAATTCCAATGTGATCTCAGAGCCATGGATAAAGGAATTCAAGGTATCTCAAAAATGCACAGATTGAACATAGAATTAGAAGGAGCAAAGGATTTCTACTATAAATATACCATGAAGCAAAATATTTATCAAACAAAAGTAATACTTCTTTATAGTCTGAAAAACAGGTAAGCAAACAACCAGTTGACACATGTCTTCTTTATTTGTTATTTAAAATATCAATTATTTTAGTTATAACTGAAGAGGCCACGCCTTTATTGTGGTTAAAGCAATGCAGGGTTCAGTTAAAACCCAATTATAGATCAGTAGAATGCAATCTGAAAATGTTTTGGATCTTGATTCTGCAGAAGAGATGTGTTATGTTCTATTTAAATTCATTGTATACTACAAAAGCTATGAAAAAAATTGAGAAAAAAATAAGTACAAGGACTGACTAGATTACTCCTGTCACAGAAGGCCTGGGCGTGCAGATAAGGCAACATTAGATCAGATGACAGCTTTAAAGCAATAGCAATTTCAATCCTGAAACTTCTGAAGGTCTCATGCTCACTTTTTTTGTTTGCCTTTCAAATCGGATAAAAAGTTGCTGTGGGTACTTTCCTTCCTTGAAAATAATCTGAAGTGTTCCTATATTGTCTTTAGAAGATGGCTCATACAGCCATAATAACCAAGTAATCATTGTTCATTTTTTAGTCATCAGTGTAGTAACTAATGTTGGATATCCCTATACCTCATTTTATGTAGGCACGACAGAGAGAGTTTGTATTCAGCCAGGGTCAGGGTTAGCTAACAGAGTAGGACGATCTGAGAGAGGGGTGAGGCACTTTCAAGTAAGTACATGCAAAGAAGCAATTAGAGTAACTGTGTACTGACCCCAGATTGTAAATTGGACAGGAAGCTGAGTGAGGATATCAAGGAGATGAGAGATCAATGAATTGGATGGCCAGGAAGAGTCAAAGAAAAGCTGGAGCTGGGAAACCAGAGGCAGTGAGCTACAAGGAGGGGATGGTCAGCGAGAAAGATGCTTGAACGTGGGACTATGGAGAGTCTGACGTCCCTGGTAACAGCAGTGGGAGGGGCTGAGGTAGGAAGTCAGGTAAAAATCATTGGATGAGAGGAGTTCAATAAAGACATCGCGATGAGGAAAAGGCCATCTAGTGCACGTGGAAATTGTGAAGGAGGAATACAGGTGCTGTGTTAGGGAGTGTGGCAGTAATTAGGGGGTAAAACTATTGAGGAATCTAGGTGAACTAGCCAGGGGTTGGCAGCTAAAAGTAACAGTGAGGGGCAGTGGGCAATATGATCTGAAGATACGGAGGTGAAAAGATATTTTTAAAACAGTTCTTAAATCTAGCCAGTCTAAAACATTTAAGTACTAATCTTTCCTTTTTGTTAGAAGTATTTTCTCAACTAGCAAAACTATAAGGTTACCATTAAAATAAAAAACATAAAATATTACATTATTAAAATGTATATGGTCATTTTTCAAAGAAAAGTTGTACCTAATATGCATCACACCAAGTCAATGCACAGAAAAGGAAACATATAAGGCATTTAATGCTAAGTTTACATTAAACTAAAAGTCACAGCATTAGGCATAGACAGAAATTCTTATGTAAATTAAATTTAGCAGCATGCTGACATCGCATGTTCCCCACGGTTTATGAAAAGTAAAAGAGCACATTGATGTCCTCGGTAACCGCTGGAAATGCACTCCTCATTCACAGACACCTAATACCACATTCACAGAAGGTATGTGCTGAACTCTGTTTACACATGATTTCTATAAGGTTTTGTAGAGTTATATATGTTTTGATAAAAACAGATATCATGTGCTTAAGACTAAAATAAATGGCAATCAGTGTCAACAAACCCTAACTGAGCTGGACTGAGCTTGGCACAGCTGGCAAACCACAAAGTGATTCAGAAAGATTCACCGTCATTCAGTAAAATCTGTTTTCTGCTGAAGTAATGAAAATTCTTGCCAGCTGTTTTCAAGACTGTTTTACATATGAAATATGCTGTGTATGCTTATATATATTTTATTTAACCAAAAACATTTTTAACATTAACTCCAGACCACAGACTCTATTTGGAAGAAATGTGGTTCTGTAGCATTTGTGCAACAAATTCAATACATGTTGGTTTCTGTATAACATAGTTGAATGATCTTACATGCCTACACCTTGACTAGCCCCTCCCTCATGCCCCCAAATCCTATTAAAATAACAAAAAAAAGTTATTTAAAGAATGAAGACAAATAGCAAGGTGTAACAAAAAAGGGTGCCATCACTTGACTGGAGATTTGAGAAACTCTGGAATTATGAAAAATGAAGCAGGTGGGTAAGACTATGGTTACATCGAAGCATGGAAGACACTACAGTCAAGGCAACAGAAGTTCTATTCTTTCCAAGAGAACCAGAGAGAATATTCAAGCAAAGCACAAAACCAGAGGCCAAGGGGACGCCATCAGTGTAACTCATAGAAAACTGCATTCCCAGCAGCTGGGCTAGCTGAAATCCCATCTCCCTCTGGTGAGCCGTGCCATTGGCGGCTGGGGCTTTTACTCACAGTGAGATCAGAGAACTCTTGTCCTGTGCCATTTGTCTGAGAAAGTCTCTAGGAACAGTGTTGGACTCCAGGAAGCAGCAGAGTAGGACTGGAAGTAACCAGGGACTCTGCATCTCACAGAAGGTGAGGACAGATGCCTGGCAGTGAACAGCAGGAAAGCATTCTACCCCCAGAGCAAGGCCCTCCTCATTGGACACCTTGATGTCCCACTGATGACTGGTCCTGGGAAGCCTGATGGCTAACCACCTCTCTAAGCTGGCACCCAGCCTTCCTTGCCAAGGAAGAGGTCAGATGGGGGCATCTATTCAGCTTATAGAGAGAAACTGGTACAAGCTATCTATAATAATAAACCTTAGCTTTCATTCGTAAAAATGAAACAGCAACCAGAAACCACCAGAAACTTTAGGAAAAGACTGTACACATGTATAAACAGAGGACAACTGAGCCAAGAAGAAGTGGAGCTGCTTCAGGAAACCACTAGAAAGAATGTTGCATTTATAAAACAGGAACTTGCTGTGATGAAAAATGAGAAAAATCTGAAGCAAATATAGAATTCATGAGGATTAAAATATGATTGCTAAAATCAAAATATAAATGGAAGGACACAGGAAATTTGAGGCAATGTTAGTGATCTAAAATTAAAAGTTGAGTAAATCTAATGATAAAAGAAACAAAAATACAAAAAAAAAGGGAAATACAAATTAAGAGGCATGGAACTGAGATATGGAAGGCCCAACATCCTTTTAAGAAGCATTTCAGAAGAATACAGTGAAAATGCAAATAGGAAAATTAAGAAAAATGTAATAAAAACTCCATAGGCTGAAGATACCCAAAGCATCAAACTGA